ATAGACACGATCTTAGTGTCGCGGTGAATTGCATTAGACGAAAACTCTTTATCGTTACGAATTATATTTCGGCGCAATCTCAACATCACCGTAAATTGTATTAAAATCAACTTCAGCATCCTGTCGACTTGTCGTGTTCGATTTACCGCTGTGTGCTGGATTACAACTAACCTGGCTGTGAGGTTAGTATTATTACACGTAATCTTAGTATCTAGACGAATTATATCATACGTAATCTCCGTATTGTCACGAGATAGATTATACATAATCCCAGTGTTGCGGTGAATTGTGTTAGAGGTAACTTCATTGTCGTTGTGAATTAGACATTTTGTTTCGCAATCCTAATATAATTAGTTGTATCAAAATCAAGTTCAGTATTGTGGAAGCTTGGTGTTGGATTTATCGTTTTGCAATGGATTACAACTAATGTGGTTTTCATTCACGAGTAACAACAATAATATGATCAATGTTTTATATGTCACATGATTGACGTGACGAGCTGTGTTACACGTAATTAATTGCGTATCAATTGTATAAATCGTTATGATGGATTGCATTACAAGTAACCTGAATGTCGTAATGTAATGTTTACTAAAATGAATTGTGTGATACGTTACCTGAGTATCGTATGTAATAGTTTAACATTACTTTGTTTTTTTTATGTAGCTCCGGCTTACAGTCTCATTGAAATAGTTCAATTTTATAACTATTTTCTTGGACATTGGTGAGAGGTTTCCAGCGCAACAAACAATTGCAAACTAATTGAGAAAACTATTTTCAGAAAAGACACGTCCGAATTGTTTGATAATTTGAGTTATCAATATTTTTGCATGGTTCTGACATTTGTGGCTTTCCCGGGTCAGAATAATTGATAGTTTAAACTGTATTTTCAAATATTTTCAAACGACGCTGTAAAGACATTGATGAATATAAATGGTCAGTGCACAATGAATAACCGTCCCTGATTTGTAAAAATGCATTAACAATATGGTTGTACATAAGTATGCCCGGACTTTGGGCAGTTAATTGGGATGCCGCTTTGCATACGAGTATATGACGTTGTCAGTCGGTCTCACACATCTGCGTGATAAACACGGACACTGAGCAAAATTAAAGCGGGAGGGTCGTCACCTGCGCACGCGCGGGAATTGAGACGCAAGCGACGATAGCAACATATTCTAATTACGCAAAGGCTCATGGGTGGACGCTTGTTTGCAAACAATGACACGCTATGGCCACCTTACGCATGCGTAGGTGACGACTCCCCCGCTTTAAATATTTCTTGAATTTTGTTACATATGACGACTCTGAAAAGCTGTATAATTTAACGAAATATAACATTAGAGCAACAGCAAAATACGTATCTATACCTTGTTAACTACGACCAAAACTTTATTAGCATAAATAGGTATTATATTAGTATTAAGTGTAAAGTCTTTTTATATCCTTTGTACATGATTGTAGCTCGGCGGTCTGTGTGAACATTTTGCAAATTACGAATATCTGTTCATAACTTTCATATTGAAACAGACAGGTGACATTATACATAGGTCACACACAGAAATACTGCGACCATTGCCTGAACTGCATTGCAACCGAGTTTAACCCTTGATGATGTCCTTGAATCGGAAATACGGAAAATCAAATGTGTTCTCGTAATGGCAACAGACAACAAACCGTTACAGAAAATCATGACGCTGTACTGTTAGTTTTTTTTCAGAATCGTGCAAGTGTTTAAATATTTCAAATATTTTAGAGTTGCTTTAGAATTACCTGATTGTATGTCCAATGTACTGAATACAGTCTTTACATGTTACTTGATTACTATGATGGATTGTATTACACGTAACGTGTATAACTAAACACGATTATCGCCGTGAATTGTATTACACGTAACACGTAGATTTAACACGATAATTATCTTTAATTGTATTACACGTAAATTTGAAAATTGTCTCAATTGTTTGACGGTATTATGAGTTGATTGCATCCATTAATTTTCCGTAAATTACGGAGTTCTAATAAATGAATCACAGGAACGTTGTCATTACGTTACACACATATACAAAAGGATGGAATGCAATAAAATAAGAGATAAAATAACAGAATCATTTTAAAAAAAAAAAGAGCAATAAAGATTCACAATATAGCCAATCGACTATGACGTAAAAACTCAGTTATACACACCGGAACGAGCATCGTAACTGCAACATTTCCTCATTACCATGGTAACATGAAATCTTATCACTCCAGTGTTAAATGTCAACCGTGACTGTCGACCTTGTCACGTCAACGAGGGAAGGCGTTATCTATGTAGCAGACTCAGATGTGTACATATCGACTGTCCCCGCAGCATATAGTTAGTCGGGTTTACCCACAGGAGTAATACAAACACAACACGTACTTTGAACTTTATTCAAAGAAAGAGAAAGACTCTGACGCATGAAATGGGGGGTTTTAGCAGTACAAAATGCATGTGCTTTTCTAAACTGTTTTTTTTTACTTCGCGCTTCTAATTACGTATACAACAAACGTATTTGTCATTCACAGCACGGTGTCATACCAGGATAGCAATTTTCCGACATACATAGATAATTGTGATCCGTAAGTAATTGTATCATAGTCTGACGCCATACGTACTGAATATGAGTGACAACATGTTGAAAAAAATATGCTTGCATCTAATTGCCAACTTATTAAATAAAAATTTGAAGGGTTATCTAAAGTTATCGTTTAATATCCGTGACCTGTGTAATGTACATTACGTCACCTTTTACTGTATTTACATACTGCTACGTCATTTTATTTTGTCCACATAATACATTGTACTACTTTAATATGCCAGTATTCCACATAATTGAATTTACTACATGTACAAACACTGTGGTAGCATATACAATGCATAACACACTACAATGCAAAATTCACTGTTAAACAATTTGCTAAATACCCATTACAAAAACTACGTCCGACAGGTCGTTATCACCGATGTGTCCTATTAGACTATAATGTAATACTGTTTTCTTAATGACTCAATTAGATGGTATCCAAATGTTGCAGTGGTCCCTGCTTAGCGAATTGGTGACTAACTGAAACGTGGCACTTGTATGACGACTCGGATTGGATACTATATTTACAATTCAAATACTAGTGTCTGTGTACACAGGAAAATGTACCCGGGGCACTTTTACATTTTGTGGGTTTTACAGCATTGCTCCCAAAATATAGCGACGCGTACTTTTGTTCAGTGGTTAAGAATTCAGTTGCTATATAGGGCCGGAAATTAACAATTTACATACGATAAAAGTAGCACTGGAGACAGCTCACATTATTAATCGGTTTTAAATCCTTGTCATTCAGTCAATAAACACGTGAGTGAACAGCTGATTTGCAATGTACATGTATGCATCTTCTGAGAGCTATTTTAATATCTCTGTTTGAACACATGATTGTTGAATTTTCCGAATAATACATATTTGCACAGTTTTGTCTCTTATTCCACATATAAAAATACATGCCGCGGCAGTTTTTTTTTCCCAATATTAATTTCTGAAAAACACACACAGAAATTAAATCTCCGTCACGTCAATGTGTCCATCGTTCCGATTGCCATGGTTACATAGGTCAGGTGAACATTAAACGCCGTGACGGGAGTTTCTTGCGGGGAGATTATATTTGAAGGTCACAGTAAAGTCTCGTGGCTCGCTCGTTCTCAACGAGATTTCGGAGGCCATTAGTCTACACACTTCGATGAGATCTGATTTGTGATGCGTCAAAACAGCACTTGAGACACGATTCTTTATTTCAATACCGCGTCAATGAGTATCTCAGTAATGGAAGATGAATGAACGACTAGAAACTAGAAAGGCATACTCCAATAATTGTATCGTTCGAACAATCATTCTCTTTATTTCGGAAAATGTATACATTGCTATACTTACAAGCAATTTATAGGGAATGTCCTCACGGTTTCTGTGAAGAAAATTCGCCATATGTCAGTACTCTCACTTGCAATATGCATATAAAGTCAGAAGAGCGAACAGTGACATTCGATGCCCGGAACTGTCGCCTGACGCTAAAATATTTGAAAAAAAAGTATGTCCATACTGAAAATGTTGGATTCTGTCTCTCTGTCGTACATGTATACTTGCAAGTTCTCGCTCTTCGTAAAGCGCCACCTCTGGCGATTTCCAAAAATACAAAAGTTGGGCTTGATCATTTGTTCATGTGCGATTGTATGTTACAAATTATACATATAAAGTGACAAACTGATATGTGTTAGTAACTAGACGGTTACAATTCGATATCTTGGAAAATCTCTGCTGCATGTTAAATATCTGGGAACTAGATATAAAATATACCAAATAATAGTGTTGAACAAGTCTTGGTGGCGCTATTAACGAGCAACATGATCAATAGTTTAGGTTTCACACCGGAAGTAGATTCACCATAGACTACAGGTAATAACAATTAGCTTGCTACAGACAATGAAAGAATCGACAAAATAGAAGAATGAAAGTATTTAAGAGTGACTTCTCACCTGTAACTTTTATGCCTTAAATAAATGCTTTGTTGTTCGAAGTACGCTCTTAAAAGGGGCAGTGGTGATAACTTCTGATATTCTGGATTTTTTAAAATTAATTTTACTTTACATAACATCTTGATAAAACACATAGTATGATTCTACGTATAATGAAAACGTAACTAAATATTCGTTAGATGAATTAATGAAACATGACTTGCGCTTCGAATTGCCTTAGTGTACCTAAATGCAAATACAATGCAACCCAATTACCATTAATTACCCCACCCATCTAAGACTCCCTGGATTAAACGACAGGCGAAAATACTAACATACTAGTCACGCACATACTTAACGCAGGGGGCGTTGTTCCAAAGTTCAATTTCTTGAAAGGTGTTCACGCTGCAAAATTTTCAGACGCCCTGAGGCAGTTAAGTTTGTTTGCAATAATTTTTACCGTCAAGTCTTTCAGGTTGTTGCGATGGCTAACGTCTTTGTCAGATCTTATATCGTTTTAGTCGTGTGTGTCACTGTTCATGCATGTCTACGATTCGATCGGATACAATCAACGACAGTTTTAAGACCGTCGGTGGACGTTGAGGAGTCTCACCAGTACAACAACAACAACAACAACAACAACAACAACAACAACAACAACATTAAGAAGAGTACGATTGTTTACAGTAGTGTTGATGTCAGTACTGATGTTTCACTAACTACAGTCAGCGATAAATTCTTATCTGTAGCGATCGACGCCTTCATGATTCGTAAACATTGGGTCTATCACGCACTTAACTTCAGGTGAGATACTTTCCATTTACATTTTCTCTCTCAGGTAAAGGCCACGTGTGAATATATAACCATGATTAGTTCATTGTACATGTATACTTTGTGGTTCTGAAGGTTGTTTTTTGTTTGGGGTAGGGCATGAATGAAGCGGACTTGAGGTATGTGCACATCAGCTGAGTTTTACAGTACAGCTGTTATGTATGGGAAGTGTCATGATAACTGTCACTTTGGTATTGAAGATAAGTTTTAATTGGTTTTTATATATATACTAATTTATTGGTAGGACTATGACGGATTTTTGATATAATGTTATATAACTGCAGGGCGTTTACTCCTGCTGTTGTTGATTTCGGAAGAAATTAGTGCATTTCCCTAGATATTATTTAAACGTTTTTTTTTTAAAATATAAATCGCAATATTTGTTTTTATTTATTACTGTAATACTTTATTAACCTTTCATTTTATGACACTGCGAGTGTCTGGTCATGCAAGATAACGATTTATGAATGGTTAATAAATTACTTACTTTATTAACTAGACTTGCCTGTGTAGATGTTTTTCCCGATATGAGAGGTCATGCATTGGACCTTAGCACAGCGTGAAAAGCATGTGACTCTGAGTACAGCCCAATTAAAGTATCTAGACGGGAAAACATCTTTATTCAGTCTACCAAGGACTTCTATTATAATTGTGTAGTCATTCATCTTGATGTCACGACGCAGTTGTCTGCATTGATACTCACAAAGGCACATGTCAAAATGGGCGGGGTTATGCCCATTCGAAAATAGTGCTGTATCTACTTGTATACAAGTTCGTATGCTGAGTCACGGAAGTTTCCTGACATGAATACTCACCCAATGCGTCGCGTGAGGGCGCGCAATAAATCTGGTCTAAATCTGTCCACTGATATGAATGGCAGTGAATGGTGACAGAGGTTGTCACTTTATCAGAAGTTGTCAAACTATCGCAAAGTACCCAACGCAAGATGGTAAAAAAGATAAAGATACATGTATAATTAATCACTAGAATTTTTGTTTATCTTAGTTCACCACGACTGCTGACATTAGCACGAGGACTTCAACCATGTCATCTGCGGGTTAGTGGCACTGCTGCCGACTTCTTATATTTCAACGAAAGCGTACCACCACCAAGCGGTGCAAAGTATGAAGACGGAGGGCCATTCACGATGACAGGTAGATACCATTATCAAATTAGAATGCAACGACTGATTTAGTCATGATTTAAGCCATTTTTTTCAAGAAGCGAAAAGAACATTCAACTAAGCAGATTCCAGGCGGCGTAAATAGCAATGCAGCGAATACATGAATTTGTCACGGTCTCCTGATATCTCCAAATACTCGAGGAACATTTTTTCCCGATCCGCTCGAAATAATATCAAATTTTAAAGGTTGTTCGTCTACTTGACGCAGGTTGTTCATGGTTTGTAATAAAAGTTAATATGCATTGCGGCTAATTAGGTGTGTGAGCTCAACACCGAAATGGAAGAAACGTTATATGTTAATCTCACGCGACCCGAGTCGCTACATTACAGAGGCAATACAGTTGTTTGGCAGTGAACACAGCAATACGAGTTTGTTAAAATAACAAAACTGTAGCATTTGCGCCTCGAATATCCCGTACGTGCGGTTTGTTTCTTTTAACGAAAACGTCTCGCAATATTTGCTGATAAAACAGCGTTTTATTTTACGATAAACAACACACTATTTATTCAGCATGATATAACATTCAACAAAACTATTCCAAAATCTTTTGGAATACAGTTGGTATTACTAACTTTCTTTGTGTGCTTCAACTCATCAATAAAATAAAACAAAAACAAATTGGATTTTCCACCACGTTTGGATTCACGTCAGTATTAATCACCTTGTGAACGTTTTTATCAATCAATGTGTTTAACTTTATTTTAAGTGGATGACTGGGATGTCATCAATGAATTTGCCAATAAAGTCGGCTGGAGTATGATATTTGGTTTGAATGTATTAATACGTAAAGGCGATGAATGGGATCCAACCAACGCTATTAAGCTATTCAACTATACATTAGAGAAAGGATATAAAGTCAACTGGGAACTAGGAAACGGTAAGTTGTCACTAATGTTGTGTATTATTGGTAATACTAGGAAATGCTGGATTATATTGGTGTTCCGTCAAACGAAATTTAACCCAATACTCATTAGTTATGCTTCAATATATTTTTTTTTTAAATAACAGAACCAAATCTTTTCCCGGATAAAGCAAACACCAGTATTGAACCATCGCAACTTGCAAAGGATTTTATTACCTTGCGTAAATATCTAAATAGTAGAAAGGAATTCAAGTCGAATCTTCTCTTTGGTCCCGACGTCACCAAACCATCGGCATCATCAATTTCGCTAGAATATCTAAAGGGGTGAGTGTTTTATTTCTACATCAATAAAATGGTCATATAGACGGCAACTAAGTTTGTGGGCCATGGTCAGTTATTCGACAACAACACATACAAGTTACCGAGCTTCCACTCAATTAATGATTTTCACACAAATTAAAAGATGACGAAAGCTGGGATATAGACGACCTGAACACATCCTCAACGAGATAATAATTTAATCTTGGATTTCGCTGATCCCATAAAAAGGACTTTCATAGGAAATAAAGTAAAGCCAATGAATCTTGTTATGAGCAACCAGAAGCTGATTTGTGACGATTAACTATTATACGATATTAATAATAAAATGTATATGACATGAGTATTTATTGATTCTGTAGATTTCTGAAGTCAATAGGCGATGCAACCAATTCCACGACGTTCCACCAGTATTATCTGTGTTCAAAACCTCCAACTCCAGAAAGTTTCACCGACGTAGGCAACCTCAATGTCTTCGTGAAACAAGTTGAGCAAGTTCGAGATGCTGTCACGCAATACCTACCTGAGAGAAGAACTATATGGCTAGGAGAAACTGGTTCAACATGTTCAGTTGGTTCCTCCGATTTATCGAAAACTTACGTTGCAGGGTTCATGTGAGTAGTTATCTAAACCACGGTTACTAAAAAAGACGGTTAGGAAACAAACCATGTTCTTTTCATTTTCATCTTTTTTAGTAACCGTGTCTAAACTAATAATAGTATTAGTAATTTGATACACCGGCCAAGTGATTGACAGCGCGGGTAGCCAATTAGACTGGCAAAGTCTGGACTTCTTTTTTGTTTTACAAAAAGAAATAATTAATTGTTGTGTTAGTCTTTTAGTGTGAGCGCGAAAACTAAGCTGGCCGCTAAAGAAATCCCGACTGGACGCATCTGCAGGCGACCCCCTGCGTTGGAGTGAAAACCGGAGCGAAATCACTCCGGCTAATTAAAAGATGTTGACTAGCATTGACAACGAATCAAAGTGCAGCTGAATACGTCATCTCTTATCTATGTTAATGTACGTGACCTTTAACTTATGAGGTCCCGGTGATTTTGAAAGACTACTTATATACATTGGACATTTAAATCGACTTGTTTTCAGTAAACATGGAGGAAAGTATCACCGTTGCGCTTAAAAAAAAGAATCCATCTCTGCGATCGAATCGAATCAATCTTTAAAACGTCACGTTTACTTTCACACACCCACTCGTGAATAAACAATGACATCATGAATAATTAATACTAGTATCAGTCAAATGCCCGCAGATGTGTCCAGTCGGGATTTCTTTCGCAGTCACGCTAGTTTTTGCGATCACGTTAAAAAGACTAAATTGACAATTAATTATATTTTATTGTAAAACAAAAAAGAAGTTCCGATTTTGCCAATCAGCGACAGCGTCACTGCTGATGATGTTACTGATCATAATTCACCGCTGCAAACTTTAAAGCAAATGATCCGAAAGTCACGGTTTCACTGTTGTTATTGGAAAGGTAGAGTTATTTTAAGTAGTGAAGTCGTAAATTAGGCTTAATCCACACTGCTGAGTGGTCAACAGATAATGAACATTAGAGATTAATTTGTTGAATTATTGACTTTATGGCCACTCCATGCTTAAATTAAAGCAACCAGTGCATTAGAAGGTAGGCACCATAGGGCATCGTGGAGTTGTTTTGGACTGCGCCCTCACAGCACTCCTAGCCATTACTTCTACATATACCTGTAAGTAAGTACATGATTACATCATAATAAAACTAAACAACACCAACGTACATTTCATACTGCAAAATACAACCATCTTGTACTTATTACACGAACCACACTCTTCGTCCTGAATGTATCCAACGGGATCGATTATTGAACATTTCTGAGATTGTGTTCAACCCACGGTTGCATGTGTTCATAATGTGTTAATAAATACTGCTTTGTCACGAATAAATTAAATTGAATTTGATAAATAGTCACAGCAAAGAAATTATTAATCTAATGACTAATGGTCAAACGAATATTATATACTCACCACTGTAGCGGCAACCATAATTATGTCACATTATGTATTACTTTAGAAAGTTGCAGCAATTACAACGTTATTGTTTATTCCCACCGAAAAACACATTTTACAGTTAAAGGGCGGTGGTCGTCACGCTGCGCATGTGCGATATTTGTGTTGATAAACATTGATTTTCCCATAATCCAATGCGTTCTTTTAATAGAAATCACAAGTATGAGGTTTGACTCCTTTTATAACTTTCAATCACCTAAAAATACCTCATTAAAGCTTGGTTACGTCTCAGTTTGTACTCGTTGATCTGCGAAACAGTAAAAGTCGCCATCTTTGTTTATATAAGACCCACATATCTCGCGCATGCGTGGCGTGACGACTGCCGCTCTTTAAATATACAATATAGGTCACTAGTGTTTCTACCTTTCTACTAATTAAATCACGATATAAGTTGTACGTAAACCAAAATAATCTGCCTTATTAATATATTATAATGATAACAAATAACACATTGTTTTTTCTAATTAATCATGTCAAACTATGTCTCATACACAGGTGGCTCGATAAACTCGGCGTGGCAGCAAAGTATGGTCTGCAGGTGGTTATAAGACAAAACTTCTTTGGAGGACACTTGGGATTGATAGATGATGATGTCATTCCTTTACCGGCAAGTTCCTACTTTACGCTTAATCATTGCATCAATGAAATTAAAGCTGATAGCGCCATCGTGCGGCAGTGTACATTTTATTGGCGGCGCAAATTATTTGCATACAACATGCAGAATATATAGTGTAATAAAAACATATTTATCAGAGTATGCATAAAGATGAGATATCGATATAGTTGATTGAATATATCTGTCATTGTACTTTCATTGTTACATTTTTAAGGCTACTTGATTGCAGCCATTTTATAAAAATCAATGAAATTAAAGCTGATAGCGCCATCGTGCGGCCGTGTACATTTTATTGGCGGCGCAAATTATTTGCATACAACATGCAGAATATATAGTGTAATAAAAACATATTTATCAGAGTATGCATAAAGATGAGATATCGATATAGTTGATTGAATATATCTGTCATTGTACTTTCATTGTTTTATTTTTAAGGCTACTTGATTGCAGCCATTTTATAAAAAAAACATTTTCTCACCTACAAATACTACATCACATAATGTATCTGATGACAGACAAGAAGAAGATGAGTTATAGTCATTATATCTATTTAATTAATATCAATATATATTTAATTAACATTACTAAATGTTTCATGTCTGCACTGCCGTGAATCGCTTGGGCACAATTACTTTATCTTGGGTATAATTATAATAATTGCTATGTTTATGTTTCACTACAGGATTACTGGTTGTCTGTTTTGTACAAACGTCTAGTGGGACAACGAGTTCTATCGGTTAAACTTACGAGTAAACAGTCTAAACAGAATGACGACAATACACTCCGGGCATATGCACACTGCACTAACACAAATGGGTTAGTATCGATTGATATACTGTATTTTTTTTACATAACAGATCATAAAACAATTGAATTAATTGTCCTCATGTATATTTCATGTATAACAACGATAAACATAACGAATTGAGGAGAACGCGATTTATTTTGCACACAACAGTCCAAACCAATTCACCGTCAATAATTGTACGATCTAATAATCGCATGCATATAATCCCTGCATAATTAGGTGTGCCGTAATCAGTGGTTGTTTTACGCATTTTATTCACATTCTGCATTGTAGAACAACATACCCACCAGGATCTGTCACCGTGTATATTCTATCAGTAAACAACAATCAGTCTACAATAGTGTCTCTTAGTGCTGGATCACTCCGCCTTGGTGTAGATCAATATTTATTGACATACCCACCTGCAGAGGGCGTTACATCCAGGTAAACAAATTGTTGTTTATATGTTAATTACACACATTACATATAAACCGGTAAGCTGGCGATCCGCCGGAGGCTGCAAACAATAATTTGGTTGGCCGTTACTATGGCGATGGTGGGACGGGGTTTTTGTTCAATCTTTCCACCTAACTAGAGTGCTGGTGTGAGCAGTCTATCAAGTTTGAGCAAGATCGAATGTGTTTGTCAGATTGAACATTTGATGGATTTCAGTGAACTCCAAGACTCAGTAAAGTTGACTATGTCATTCGGAAAGTTTCTAAGGTTTACTTATTCTGTTATCGCCTCACCATTATTCCTTTCGAGAATTCCAAATATAAACCTGTGTTCACTGTCGACGAAATGTGATACAACTGAGGTCAAATACCTGCATGGTTCAACCAAGTCTACATCATCCTGTTCTGTACATATGCACCTATTCTATCACGTAGTATATTCTACTTATTACCACAGTGATGTAGTGGCTTGAAATAATGGTATTTCATAGTATGTGTAACTGAGGAAAACATCTGATTAACGTCTGAAATATCATCTGCACATTTTACTTTAGTCTGGAATATATTCCCATTTCATTGATTTCAATTATATAATTCGCTACATATTTTGTCTAACATATTCATAGTCTATACACATGTTATATTATAGTCTTTAAATATCCGAGAATACTACGACCCGGTAGATTCACCCTACTTAGCTGTTTCCCTGCCTGTTTAACCAGAATTGCTTTGTCAGTTTGTTTTAAATTTGAATCACCTAATATGAATGTGTTGCACGCTACCGTGGCACAAATATGCCCACATTATACCAATATACCATACGCCCACATGACACAATATGGAATACACTTATATGAAAATTATGCCATACGCCCACATGATACAAGCTCATACACTCGTATGGTACTAGTAACAAAATGCGATCACTAACTACTACTTATTATTTTGACAAGTTGATACTATATGTGATACAATATTTTTATTTGTCATTACAGTCATGTGGAATTGAATGGAAAGAAACTGAAAATGGTGGATGATCACACCTTGCCCGATTTCCCACCTCAAACGATCGCAGCTGGATCTCCTATCAACATGCCACCTCTGTCATTTGGATTTTACGTTATACCTGGAGCCATGGCTGATGCATGCATGTAGTTCTCTTTTTATGCAGTCGAATTTCGAGTAAACAGACATTTTACACGTGTCGTATACATCGCATGAAACCCATATCGAACACGATGTGTTTTATACAAGCTGAGATATTTATTGTATCCCGATTTCAAGAGTTACTTTTTGTATGTTTTTGCATCATTATCATGACAAGGGTTACATACCATAGATCCTGCGCACTTTGTAGTTCCGGTTCTTATGTTACGCATCGCACCACTGGACAGTATTTTGCGAGTCCCTTTGTGCCGATCTACTGATATTATCAAATCAGAAAACGTTTTACAAAACCATTTTATGCATGCGCATGAATACATGAGTGTGGGAATGGATTTGTTCTTACACTAATATTCTAACACTCACATCGGCCAATATTGTGGGTGAGCGATTTTATTATCTTCTTTCGCTTGCTTTTTTTTCAATTTTTTAGGCAACTGTTCGAGTTTTGCAAATTATTATAAAGTGTTCTTCTGTATAAATGAAGTTTAGACAACTTTAACGACAGTTTTTATACCCAATAAAAAGGATGCAACATGAGTACATTTTATGTATAAAACAGCAACATGTTCGAATCATCGTATCAAATATTGATTAGTATAAATGGTAAATGTTGTAGAGGCTAATGTCATACGTTTCTTCAAAGTAAAATTTTATGCCCTGACTGGACAATTCAGGAAATGTTCATGCTTTTGACTCCCAACACTATACTTATATAGAATGTTATAACAGTTTGCTACTATATTTGCTACTAATATATATTCGATTTTCTGTAAAAAAGAAAAAATAATTACCTACAGATTGTGCCTGAAGCTAGGACCGGTAAAATACCGTTACGATGAAATAGCAGTGTTTTTCCATGGCTCATAAAAAGTGGAACAGTAAGTACAGCGACCGATTCACCAGTTGATTGTGAACTGGCTGTTCCAGGGAACCTCTCTAATAAAATGTAATAAAAACGTTATCACGACTGGGATAGAGTGGATGATTACCTGTTGCAATTCAACAGTCTCAGTAGCCTCTCCAGAGACTCTGATAGAGGGTGACTGTTTTTTAAGTTTGTTTACTGCAGATTTCGTCATAGGCTTTGAAAAACATTTTACATGACAACATTTCTCAAGCACATCTCAATATGCGATTGTGGGTATGTTGGAGTACATCTATGCAGTTTTATCAATAATATTTGGTATTATGGTAGCTTCCTTGAATGATCTACATGTAGACTTGGGGGCAGGGTAAACCATGCCCCGTTCAGCCAATCTGATTCTGTCAGTGTTGTATCACAGCATTGCTCACCAGCTGTAATTTATGCAGTACTGAATTCAGAGGTGGGAACTTCTGCACATATAATATCATTGATATGGCATACCACATGAAAGCTTAGTTACATAAGGTCCATGACACATAGACTGACTGATTTTGATAATTGGTAAACGAAAATATGATTGGCGTTGGCCATAGGTTTAACACGTGGTATTCTAGTGACTGATTTATCTACCACTCCATGCCAAGGAAAAAAACAAGTCTGGTAATGAAAATTGTTGCGCCAAGATAGTGATATGATCTGTTCGGTGCCAAATTATTCAAAATTGTTTATCTGGTTCTCCATCGCATTTGAGGTATGTCACCACTGTCACAATGCACTATATGTTATGGACACAGACTTGCCAATCGATGTGACCTTCTGTCTTGGGGAGGCTCGCCAAAAACCTGCACTCGCAGTGTCGCGATAAGTTTCTCTTTCTAAGCCATCGGTTCAGTCTTCATTCAAAGTGTATCACCCTTTCTCATGTATCTTTGCCCAATAGCGCTTAGGAACTCTTCTGCTAGTGTTGTACAAGGGCTTTCTCTCCATCAGAAAAACTAGTCTGATATCTTGCTCTTTAACAGCCAATGGCTATAAGTTAATGAACAACATTGAAATTTACCTATTTTGAATGAAATCTCTTGTTTTCTAAATATTTGCTGCTTTGTATATGTCATGAACTTAATGTGCCTCGTGTGTTAAATACTTGCTAACTATGCAAATTAATTGGGATGATTACAACAACGATTTATGATCCACGAAATGTTCATAGACGTTATGAATCTTCTCCGTGTCGTGTGAAATCAAAATGAAATCAGTTGTCAGTGCAAAATTATCTACTTCAATTGTGGGCAATGGTACACGAGTTGAATTATCAAACTTTAACCACAATGGTTACAGACCATGCTGGGCAAAATCAATCCCGAGAAGGTACATGCAGCACATAACATTGCGAGCTAGTTAATGTAAACTGTACTATGTTGAACATCAAAATGATGATCAGCAAAAACTTTTGCGAGAGAGGTTTATTTTTTCCTAACAACATATGACTATGATTTGTTCAGTTTTACAATTATATCAGAAATACACTGCAACCCCGTTACAGCAAACACTTTGGGACATTACTTTGTTATTATGACATGCAATGTGTTCATTATCTTCTAATTTGCCAAGTCTGTAGAAATCGACACGGTTCTTTAAACCGTGCTGAATTGCAAAACCGTTCGAAATCGTTAACTATTTGAGCATGCAGATGAAAATCGTTTTCACAGATACCCACAGGTGAAATTCAGTCATGACTTCGAACGATGTTTGAGCATTTCGTCATCAAAAGGACACCATTTATTGCGAAAATTAACACCTTTCTAGCCAAATTAATTGCGAATGGTTTTCAAGCATTATGCACGTTTGCCACGACACGCATTTGATCTTCTTGGTAAGAGTGCGCATCGAGACAAATAAAACAAACGATTTCAGAGATATTGGTTGTTACCAGGTATGCGCATTTCTTTGCCAAAACCAGCATTAACTAACTTGACTGATTGGACAGTGGTACTGTGAACAGGCGTATTTCTAAACATATACTCGATATTTTACCAAGTTAGTGGGAATCCATAACAGCGCAAAACGTTTACTCCTCATCCACGAAACATGCATCGCACAAAATATGAAATGATATATACACTGCAACAATACTTTTTCAATAATTGTACCTTGAATTATCTGGAGAAAAACGAAAAATAACATTAAAAACAACATATTTTAACTTTTATTTCACAATTATACATATTTGAAACAATGTTGCTATTATGCCTACTGTATTAGCGCGTATCATACTATTGATGATTGGGGGGGTTGAACATTTTTACCCACTCTTTATTTTAACACGTAACATGGTGTTGACAAATATGATTAAACAGTACACGGTATACATTTGTAAATACCGTCTACAGATTTTATTAAAATATTTAAAGGGGATTTGCGAAAAATATTCAACACTGTCCGTGTGCATAGTGCACGCGCATTTCTTCACGTGACATAGCAAACTGCGACCGCCTACATATACAAAACGAGCTCATGATGATGTTATATTGCCATTTCTGGACTGACCATTTTGAAATCTAATAGACATTTTGATTGATAAAAATATACATTTATAACACATTTACAGTGTATCCAATTTTCTGCCCTTTTCTGTATCAGGATATATAAGGTGTCTGTCCATTAAACAAGGTATCACTAAGATTCAAGGCCGTGTTTTTCGGAACAAAATTTGCCTTAGTGCGAAACACGTGTCTATCTAAGATGCAACAAACTCTTAATATAATATTTTAGACCATTGAACTAAAGCGTTTGCTTATTAGTGAGTTCTTCAGTCTGTACTAAAATGAAACACAGAACTACATGCATGCATCAGCCATGGCTCCAGGTATAACGTAAAATCCAAATGACAGAGGTGGCATGTTGATAGGAGATCCAGCTGCGATCGTTTGAGGTGGGAAATCTGGCAAGGTGTGATCATCCATCATTTTCAGTTTCTTTCCATTCAATTCCACATGACTGTAATGACAATGAATAATGAGTAAACATTGCATCATGTATAGAAAACATGTATTGTTCGATACAGAAGAATGTTGTTGAGTTCAGATGGCTTAAGTTTACTTTTGAGAACTTAATACACTGTTAATACACACAGAAAGTAGCATATATGGGACGTATGAGATGTAGTTTTGTGGGTAATGTTAATGGTACATATCGTAATACACCAGAAATACGCCACAGTGTGTGGCAAATTAAATGACATGTCAACCACTTTACGACATCTGGAGGTTATTTTCCGTGATAGAATATGCCCGATATATTTCCATAATCACCCAATACACCAGCAAGCCCCTGTACTTGAGGGGGGGGGGTTTAACCGATATGTGCTTTTGTCCTAGCATTGACGTAGTTTAGTTTCGAATTTAAATGGTAAGGGACCCGTGCAGTATTGTTTTTACATTATTAGTTAGTCAGGTTATGTCTCGGTGTGTAAGTGGTTTGCCAGGCTACTTATGCAATGACGCGATGCAGGTTTGGCCTCTGGTATGCTATATGCTATATCAATGTATTCATCAAGTACAGGCAAATAATCAGGGCAAATGACTCAACTATTTGTTTACCTAGATGTAACGCCCTCTGCAGGTGGGTATGTCAATAAATATTGATCTACACCAAGGCGGAGTGATCCAGCACTAAGAGACACTATTGTAGACTGATTATTGTTTACTGATAGCATATACACGGTGACAGATCCTGATGGGTATGTTGTTCTACAATGCAAAATGTGAATACAATGTTAACCAATGACTCGTACAGTTTAGTATGTGAATCATATTTGCCGCCAATGTTGTAGGTGGTGTCGACCACAGTCAGCTGGCATCGGTGTCGCTGGGTGTATATAATAGAGGGAAGTTGTGCAACCAAATTTGCCGAGTTCGCAGTTTATCAATAATCCGCCCAAAACAGGAACATTTCTACTAATTATTGTGCTTTTTCGACGTTTTTCGAAAAACTTGCGATTAGGCTGCGA